TCTCGGAAATCCCCCAATCTGGAAACTATTAAAATCAGACTGCTTGAAATATAGCCCTTTAATATCTCAGGCTGCCCATTTTGCTGAGGGTGCAGGGTGTTGCTCTGAATATTTGGAGGATACCACCATAAAAGACAATAATTGGGGGTCCCAGTCCATATACTGCTTCCCCCAAAGCATCACCTCACAGGACTGTTGATACACTTGTAGGGACCAGTCTCTACTTAATTATTTGAATCTCTTACCCACTCCTTCCATTAAACATTCCAATTTTGAGGTCTGGAGGAAAGTGGAAAGGGGTGAAAATTTTGTTGTGGTAATATTTTGGGGAACAATCAAGTTGCAACAACAAATTTAGTTGTTGTTGAAATATTTGCTCCTCTTTCCTGCTTAGGAGACCTCCTCCCCAATTCCAGAAGCATTGTTTTCTTGGTATTTTGGAAAGGTTTTCTCACTTCTCCCTTTGGCCTTCTGCTGTTCTGTAACCCTGGCCTCAGTTCCTCACTTGATGGAAGCCAAGACACCCCTTTCTCCCTCAGCTGAGACCGCTGGGATGAGGGCTTCTCTCCCAGCCCGAGCTCGGCGGTGTTTCCGGGCTTCCACCCCGCCCCTGCTCGAAGGCCCTGTCGCCTCCCCTCGGCGTCCATCAGCTCGGCCTGCTTCCTGCAGCCTGCCCGCCAGAGCCGGCCTTGCTGCGGGCAGGAAGGAGGGCTGCAGGGCTGGAAGACCCTGAGGAGCGCTTGGGATTCAGAACAGGCCCACCGCCCGGTTCAATATACAATCCCAGCCCAGCCTTCAGCCTGCAGGTCAGGAATGGATTCGATTTTTATTCATTATCACTTATTAATTAAAACAACACGACACACTTCTGGGGAAATAAATGAAAGCTGGCGGTGGAGAGAGAGGTTAGCAAATGCCCTCCTTCCCTAATCTTCCCCTCCCACCTCTCCTCTGCTCCTTTGTCAGAAATCACAAAACCCTAAAGGTTGTTCCACTTGGAAGGCAGCGGATAGGTACATTTCCGCAGCCCCGAAATGCCACTTTTATGGCGCTGTTTGTCTCCCTGCTCTGGGTTCTGAATGGGGCCGAACAAAACAGCAGCGCAGAGCTGGCTAGACGTCTGGGCTTAATTGTTTTATGGTTTAAATAAGGTGGACACTCTTTCCTTTGAAATCGGATTATAGGAATGTTTTGTCTATGGCCCACGGAGAACAGGACCTCACTGGCTGGGAGGGAGAGGTGGAGAAAGCGCGCGCGCGCGCGAGGGATGGGCTACAAACCAGGGGGCAAACAGCCTGGAGAAATCATAGCCCACCCTAAAATCCTACAGGCGGCGGCAGAATAGACCCTGCGGGTCCAGCATCAGGATAAGAGGAAGGAGGAGTTTAGGGTGCGCGCTGCGGACAGGAGGTCCCGGGAGCTTCGGTTCGTGCATCCGCGTGCGCGGAGGTTTTCCGAGGTCAGAAATGCGCCTGAATGGTGTTGCGGGGCGCGGGAGGGAGGGGTGGAGGGCGGGGAGAATAGCTACAGTTTCTTTGCACAATGTCTCTTAATGCAAGAAAAGAGGGTAACAAAAAGAGAACAGTTTGTAACCTTTCACAAGGTTTATTTCAAGAACTTAGAAAACAAAAGAACAGCAGTCCCGAGGCAACACCCTTCCGGGGAATCCCTTTCTTTTGCACCCAATTGGAGCCTCCTTCCTTCCACTTCCCACCTTTGGGCCAAGCCTAGGACCTCCGTTGGCTTTTTGCCGGCCGGACTGCATTGGAGCAAATGGACGCGAGGTGGCGCTGTTGCTCAATGTTAGAGGCGGCGGTGCCCCCCGACCTGCCTGGCCACACTGACATTTGAGGCCTGGCCCAGGGCCGCGGCGAGAAGGCCCCGCGCCTCTGCCCGGCCCGGCCCCACTGGCTCTGAGCAAATCAATCCTCTCACCTGCGAGGTGTAAATAATTCGCGAGTGGCAGCGGGAGATGGACCCTCGCTCTGGCAGGGGGCTCATGAGGCGCAGGAGGGTAGGCATCAAAAATAATCGCTTTGCGGAGGAGATAAGTGCGAAGCAGGCAGCGCGTAATTAACACAAAAAGGCGGAATGACCCGGACAAACGAACATAAATCCGTGATACCTAAGAGGGCGGTGCAGGCCTCAGGGAGAGGAATAGAGATGGCCCCGGCGAGGATGGCTGCTTTCGGTTCCTTTATTTCCAGGCTCAGGAAGCGAAATAAACCAGATACGTGCAAAAGCAATAAAATAAAATAAAATAATCAAATGAAAGGAAGATGAAATATCTCCCCCAAAGGGGAAACCAAGTCCGACCAGGGGTTGCGGGACTGGTGGGTTCTCCGGACAGGCGGCGGTGGCGGCACACTCGGGACAGTCGCATTCCAAGACACAAAGGCCCAGAAGAATAGCTCTGTGGCAGGGTTTTCGCTGGACCATAAAATGTCGAAATATCCCCCCACCCCCTAAAAGATAAGGCGCAGGCCCCAGAGCGGATCCTGCCCTCTGGGCCTCCTCTTTCCAGACAGAGAAGAGAAAGTATTTATGACAGTCCCCAGTGACCCAGATGCTGGGAGCCCAGAGTCCACCCTGTTCAACCCGGCACCAGAGGAGCAGGCTTGGAAAAAGGCAGGGCTGGAGCCAAGGATGCAGCAGGCTCTGGTAGGTGGAAGCCTAGTTGTGCCCATGCACTGTTCTGGACCCTTGGGAGGGCTGCAGCTCTGGAACTGCCTCTTTTGACCCTTCTCTCCTGGCCCTAGGGCCAGAGTTCTGAGTATCTAACAGTTGGGGCAGTCCCTAACTGAGATAGGAGTGGGTCTCCCAAAAGCAAGATCCTGGAAGGATCTTTTGCTGGTGTACCAGTGAACCTCCGTTGGGAATTTGGCTGAGAGTGACCATTTCCCCAGCAATTATTCAAATAATAGGATGGTGGTGGTTATTCTCTCCAAACCATACTACATTGCATTGCTATTCCTTTCTCCATCCCCAGAGCTGACTCTGGATGGGGATGGGGAAGAAAAAGATCTGGTTTTCTAATCACCTCCTTCCTCATCCAACCCTGAAACCCCAGGATATGGAAGGAAAACAGGTAGCAGTGTTTGGGAGTTTGGTGTGGTTTTTTTTTTTCTCCCCATGATGCGAAAGACCTAAAGATGCATCTGTGTTTGTCAGGCATTATGTGCATGTGAGCCTGGTGTGCACGTGTGTGTAGTATCTGTGAGGTGAAAGGGATGCTTCCAGGAATGTACATGCTAGTTTACAGTGAGCATGCACTTGATGTGTCCCAGGATGAGAAGGTAGCATGTACTGTGTGTATTCGTATACACAGTGTGCCCCAGGGTTGCACTGTGTGTAACAACCTCACACACTAGAGAGAGAGAGAAATGGAGAAAACATTCTTATTCATCTTCTTTATTCATATGCACATAGCACACATACATGGCTCTCTCACTTTCTCCCTTTTTCTGTCTGTGTTCGACCCATATAACTATACCCACTGAGGGCCAGGGAAGGATGCTGATGGATTAAGATTCTTTTATCCATTAGAATTAACTTCAATTTGCCCAGTATTGGGGATGAAGTGACCTCCCCACACACAGAGAAAGTGTGGGTAAATATTTAAAGAGTGTCTGTTGACAGTTCCCATCCACATCCTGGCCTGGGCAGCTTGCCTGGGGAAGAGGAGGATTCAGAGAAGCCAAGGAGCACCCCACCCCCCAGGCTGACCTGGCATTTCCTATGAGGTGGGAGTATGTGGGGACAAGTAAGAGGCCTGCTCCAGTCCCCTCTACCTCAGATACAAATAGTCTCCTGAAAAGAAACATCCTGGATCAGCCCAGCCAGAAGCCAGGAACACACAAGCTATCCCTTCCTTTCTTAGTCCCCATAAACAGCTTTCCTCTCAGACCCCAGCCAAGCTTATTGCCATTGCCTGGGTTCCCTGCTCCAGGTAGGTGCTGGTGTCTGAAGGGACAGTGTGGCCCTGATAGGGTACCTGGTATAACCAGCCCTTGTGTTCTTCTCTAGAAGAGTCTTAAGGCTCTTAGGAAGAGGGGACAGCTTCAGACTCTGGGGAGGGGCCAGTGGCTGCAGGGTCCTATGCCTGGGGGCTGTGATGTGGTTTATCTGTTTTCTCCTTAAAGTCCGAAGACTTAAGGACCCCCTAAGGAGACCATCTTTTGGGTTAGAGGCTCTGCTCTGGCTTGCTGATATTCAAAGCTGGTCTGGGGGAGGGGGCAGTTCTTATACCTGTTGAGGTAACCTGAGTTGACCTGCGGGCTAAGGTATAGCCCCCACCCCCAGAAGAAGGGAAAGAGAAGGGGGAGGGGGCACCTTCAAATCTGAATGCGTACCTTGGAAA